GCTGAAATGAAAAACAATGAAAAATGCTAAACTGCATTCAAGATGAGAATACCCATGTGACTTCCCTGTGGTTCTGTTGCGGTTTGCAAACGTTTGCAAGGGTGATACAGCTGGTACTCAGGTTCTAATGCACACTTTGTGTGTATTTCATGGTCAGGGTTTCTGCTTGCCCTTTCATTAACCGAGTGCTTACTTGCTGTTGATGACCAGTGAAGTGCATCTCTTGATTTAGTTTCATTTGAAGGGAATTCAAGTTTGCACATCCTGTTACATTCCCTAACAAAAAATAGAGGAAAAAAGTAAGTGGGGGTGACTGTGAGATTCACTTCAAAAGTGTACTCCGGAGTTTAGCACAAGACAGTTCATAGAACCGTTTGGCAGCTCTCATGGCTTTGCTAGAAATGTGTACTGGATCGCACTGAAATCAGTAGGCAAAGGAGGGCTTATATCTTTACTATGATTCTCCCTCTTCATTTCAGCAGGTATCCTTAATAATTGGAAAACTAAGTGCATTGAAGAATAAAAGGACAAGTGTATGCCAAGCTACGTAACTCTCGCCATCTCTTCAATATAAATCTTCCTACATACATGCTGCCTCCAAATGATTTTAGTAGTTAAGAAAAAAATTCTTAAAAAAGAATGTGTGCAATGTAATATAAGAGGCAGTTGAGACCAGACACCATCTTGATGCTTCTGTTGTCACTATTTTTTGTTCAATGTATCAGGTGACTGTTTAAATTTATAAAACTTTATCTGAAGAAAGTAAAACCCATTGTAATTGATAGGTTTGATTATATGTTTCATGTTGAACTGACTGTATGATTATATTTTCAGCTGTGATTCAAAACTGAAAACCAAAGAATGAAAATAAGAGATAAAATACTAATACAGAAGTACTACTTAAATGTCTTCAATGGAATTTTCTTGGTAAAAATTCTGTTTTCTTTTTCTTATTTAGCAGCTTCAGATTATTTTTTTTAAATTGTCTTGAATTAAAACATTAATCTTCCTTTTTTTTCCAGGCTCTGGGTCTTATGCTTTTGACATTTGGTCTATGGCTTTTCTTTGACAGAAACAATTTATTTAGTGTGTTATGTGAGTATAAACAGAATTTTTCTTTTGTTTCAAAGGATTGCAAGATAAATCAACAGAAACAGCTATAGAATCTTTTTTTCACAAGGTGGCAGTATTGGATTGAATTGCATAGGTTATTTTTTTTTGTTGTGTATATTTTCCATCATTAGACAGTATGATTATCAAAAGAGGGGAAAATATATATCAGTATATCTAATATTTATATATGATTATAATTTATACAATTTATTTATTTCTCTCAGCATATGGCTTATAGTTGAATCACTGAAATATAAATCAGATGTATTGATCTGTTCTTTATATAATTTACCAGACTGCATTTGGCTTGCATTTGACAAGATTATAGATCCTTTAGGTGGATATTTGGGTGGAATGAACACAAGTCGGAGCTTGGGCCTCTCCATATAGATACTCCTATTTCCCAGAGTGTCTATCAAATTGTTTCACAGAGAAGTAAGTTTTGGGTCACGTAACAACATCTGTGCTCTTAAAGAGTTGTCTGCATTGGCTGCACTAAGGAGCATCAGTTTCCAACCGGTGGGATGGGAATCATTCAATACTGTAATTCTGGGATGAAGCATTTGAGATGGAAGTAATGAAAACCCCTGCTACTTTCCATATATATGCAGAAATGGTTCAAGTGGAAAGGGGAAAGTGGCCAGTCACAAAAAGGGAGGATAGCACTGATTCTGTGACTGGATTTAATGAGAACTATATCTATGGCCACGTAGGATTTGTAGATGTGCTGCTAATTTTGGCAAACAAAAATACTGTAAACTTGTAATTGTTCTTTGATTTCATTGCGAATAATTCACGCTGTTCAGCTGAGTATGTTCTGTTTACATCTCATATGTTATTTCCATCCTCTGAATTTATGAAAATACATCTTTTTCCTTCTGTGACTGTAGGTAGCATAAGTAATAATAATATCCTTTTAGCATTCTACTATTTCCATCCTTTCAGTAATGGCATTGCAAAGGTTTAACTGTTTTTCTGGAATAAGTTTCGTAAGTGGAAGTCTCAAAAAAACCCCAGAAGTATGATGCACTGTGTTACAGTTTCTTCAGATGAGAACCAGCTAGTGGCGTACATTTCTTGTATGTTACTTGGAATTGGATCTGCTATTGCTTTTACATCAGCTGTGGGATTCCTTGGAAGTGTTAAGGAAATCAAATGTCTACTAGTTACAGTAAGTGTAAATCAGACTCCAACTTTCTCATAAAACGAAAAGAAGTTTTGTGTGCATGAAAACAGATCCTGTCTTGATGTTGTGATTTCCACATACAATGCTTAACAAACCTGCTGATAGAAAGATATTTGTAGATAAAGTCCTGGCTCAAATGAATTCTGAACAAAATTGAAGATCCTTCCATATCACTGCATGAATGTTTTCAATGACAAAACACTTGCAGTTTGATGCGGCAAAGATTTTAACCACTGTATTTTTAAAAATCAATTTAGTATTGAAATTATGCAGAGTAACTATCTCTCAGGATGTGCTCACGTGCTTAGTATGTGCTGAAGAAACAAAGAAAAGCCTGCCACAAAATATTGCAGGTTGAAGGCACAAGTAGCTACAGTATGGTTACAACATCAAAATGGAGAGTATGATTAAAAAGCCGTTACCTGTGTAGACCTACCCGGATATTCCATATTCTTATACCCTTCCTCCTTTTTAAGGGAAGAATGCTTTGATTTCTGAAAAATTATGCTGTAACTATACATTCTTATGATCACTTTGATTACATTTTTTCCTTTGTCTTTTGTTTATTGTCACCCTTTTTGAGCGATCTGAATGAGTGAGAGGAGCCTGGATGCTCTAACCAGGAATCTTGTTCTTTCTTCCTTCCTCTGTTGCCCTAGGCCTGTAGTGTTTGCCTCACAATTTGTTAGGTGATGAAAGAGAAAGAAGTGTCTCATTTCCAACTTCCACGGAAGTATGTACTATCACAATCTCTACATACTCTGGGTGAAGATTTCATCTCACTGAAATGAACAAAATCAACTACCTTTTTGTTTTGTTTATGTGTCTTATAGCTCAAAGGAATCCTTGACTAGGCATGAGACTTGGACACCATGATAATTCAAACAGGAAATAAAGAAATGAGAGTTTTCTTCAGTGGAACACAGCTGCTTAACAACAGCTTTTGTTCTTCACTTCCAAGAAAGTGATGGCTTTGTTGTGCTTTGCCTGAAGCCTGTCTCTTAGACTACAATGTCACTTTCTGAGGGTTTCCAAGAAAAAATATTTCTTATTTTTGTTGGAATGACTCGAAATAATAGCCATGAAGGATTATACATGAGCTTTTGGAATTTTTTATGGCATTGCTCACTTGTTCAGTGTTATGTTTATACGTAATTTAATTTTTTTTTTCAGTATATGAGTTTTCAGGTCCTGGTGTTTGTTACTCAGATGGCAACATTGGTGCTGATATTCATGAAGAAAGAGGAGGTATGTAAATAAACAATGTGAGACTGCTGATAATTTCAAAATGGTTTCTTTCAATGAATTAAAAAAATTCTAGTAGTCAGTTTTTGCTGCATGCTGTATCATGTTTTTTTGAACTTGAGTATTCTACATGTAGACCAGGCGTAGCAGGAGATGTGGAAAATGTAGTTTGAAGAATCAGTGTTTCAATAGTTGTAAAGAACAGTGCATGGAAATATATTTCCTGTTTCTCCTCTTCAACAAAACATACTCTTGCTGTTCAGAAATGTGGAATCAACAGTGTTGTGTTGTATCTTTGCTTTTAACAACAGGAAGCAACAATAAGTACCAGCATAGCTGTTGTCGCTAGTAACTGTAATGCTTTGAAACTTTACTCAGTCATTTATTTTTCTGCATATAGCAGCTCCAATAGCTTGAGCACTCCTCACAGTATTATGTGGAAGGTAATCTGTACTGAATTCATACAGGTCTGACTGACTCCCTATTCCATAATTCCAAAATCTATGATTTGAGAAAACCTCCCATGACACTGGTCTCATAAGGTTTATACAGTTCTCCAAATCCTGTTGCTTTTCAGGCAGGGTACACCACAAATAAATTAGTTCTAGTCCATCAAAGTAAATCTGTATCATCAAGATTTCTTCATTAGATGTTAATTTATAATGATGGAGTCCTCCCTGTTTGATATGATGGTTTTACATATTGAAAGATTTGAACTGTCAGGAATGATGCATTCTGGAGTCAGCTATTTGTGCTAGGAAAATTGGTTGAAAGATTGCAGTTAAATTTATATCAGCTGTAATTGCACTTGATCTCAACCTTAATTAAGTGTTGCTAAAGTATAATAAATGATGGTAACATCATCATTCACTGTGCAAGCTTTTGAGTTTTGTTTTTAGGATGGCTGTAGCAAGGGGAATAAGTTGGAAAAGCCTCATTTTTTTCCTATTTTATAATGAAACCTTTCAGTGGCTTAGGAGTTCTCCTCTGCGTGTATTCCCAGCTACACCCTCTATAATCACACATCAACTTGTCCATTTCAACTACTGTAGGAGGTGTATTTAAACAGTCTCTGCAAAAATGCCTAATCTAGGGCCAAAGTGAGCTGCTAACTCTCCCAGCTGAAAGAAATACATGTCCTGGTTAGATTGTATAGTGCTCACACAGGTTTGTATCACATTAGGTGTAGAATCAATTTTGGTTTTATGCTTATTATTATGTCATAGAATAGAATCATAGAATCCCTTAGGTTGGAAAAGACCTTTAAGATCATCACATCCAACCGTTAACCTAGCACTGCCATCCTACCACTAAACCATGTCCTTAAGCACCTCATCTACCCTTCTTTTAAATA